ATATTTATACCACCTTGCCCTCAACAATAAGTCATCAAATACGAGTGAGTGATATATGAAGCATGCACCCTGTCCCCATGTATAAATTTATACAAATACCTTTAGTCATAACACCACACCACATTTTCCCTCAGTTCTCTCTGTTCCTAAACCCCAATATGCTTCTTCTTCTTGTTCACCATTTGTTAGAAATCACCACTACAGGTAAGTCACAGGTACAATGAAGCTGGTGTTAATAAATTCTTTGCAGTTTTCATCTTGAGCAATAAGGAGCGAACAACCGAATGGGGGACAAGGGATTATTTTATGCCTATGAACACCAAGATCTTTTGCTGTAATTCCTGATCAGACATTTTGCACGGGTCTCTCCAACGCCCAGCTACCACCCCCTTTTTTCCTTTTGAACAATTAAAATGCATCCCAGAATGCTCTGGATCACACACGCTGCTGACTCATAAGAACAGTCTGTATTTAAATATGGCGGTTTCCAAACTCTACCTTCAGATAACCCATTCTGTACTGATGAGGTCGCTGGAGAAGCCCTGTGCCTGGACTAGAACACACACTCACACTGACAGCGATTCTGGAGTGCTTCCTAAGAACCACTGTGGGAGGAAAGGTGGAACATACATAAAATAAAAGAGAAATGAATGAGCTCCACCCTTAATGTGCACAAGTTTTTGGCTAAGTCTGTTGGCCTTGATCCCATGATCCCACACAAGAAAATACACCCACCTATAACTGTTTACTGACAAGGAAGAGCAAACAACTTTCAGGGATGTTCTCCCCCCCCCTTCTACAATTAAACTTGTAGTTGAGGAATTCTTGACAAGCTTCCGAGGAGAGAGATTAGTTTTAAAGCACTGTTTTGAAAGGGGTGTGTGTGTGTGTGTGTGTAGAGAGAGAGAGAGAGAGCATACAGCTTGACTTACCTATAAGGCTAAGGTCCTTTGGAGCTGTTACAATATACAAACAACAAAACATGATGTGAATTATATTTATAGCTGCTCATACTGTTTGCCCGATTCTTAAAATGGGAAAGGGATCTGGGCAAATATCCAAGCTTCACTTCCTTAGACTCCAACCAGAGGCTGGATTTTTTTAAAATAGTGCAACTTTCAGAATCTATGTCAGACAGGGGGTGCTGTATTCCAAAACTGTGATTTCCCATCTCCTCTACTTTCCTACACTTATAAGAAATATCCAAAGAAAGAATCTACTATTATTCACTTCAGTGTGAGAAGATCAAGAGGGCTTTTCAGTTCTCAATCATTTTTTCAAAACTGGGCCAGAATCCTACTAATGTCCATATGAGATTTGTGTAACTTGCAGCTGGTTTCGGCTAATTGGCAAGAGTGTTGGGGTCCTTTTTGGTTGTATGCCCACTCACATATCCAGTGGTGCAAGCACTGCATGCATGGAACCTTGCCAGTTAGCCACGATCAGCTGTGCCAAGTTATGCACAATTTGCATGGGCACCAACGGGATTCCAGTCATGGAGTAGTAGAGAAAAACAGAGATTCCAAGAGCCAAGATACCTAAGCGCCTGCATCGCTCTGGCTGATGAGCATTCTGAACTTCCCCAGATGCAGATGTAGATCCATGGAAGAAAAGGCAAACCACACACGCCTAGGCTAACTGTCAGTTAGCGGAATTTCTTTGTTTATCTTTTTTTTTTGTTAATGGCTAATTGTCCATCTGGATTGGGAGAGGGAGAGAAACTAAGCAACAGGTAGTAGTAGAAATTGGTTCAGCGATTCATGCTGATTTGTTTATCGGCTGGACAGGTATTCAGCGCTTCCCAGCCTCACCTTCTTCCCAGCCTCACCTCTAAGTGGGCACTGCCTCTGAATGGGTACCCATCAGAGGAGGCAGGACTGGGAAGCGCTGCATACCTGTTCGGCCACTAAATGAACTGGCACGAACTACTGAACCGGTTAAGAATGATCTCTAGTTAAGAAGCAAAAGAGGGAAGAAAGAACTAATCAATTCCAGCATCTGATCAAATCTTAAGATTCTCTCTCTAACGCCTGGCTTGCTAACCCTCTAGCAAGAGCCATCCAACTTTTTAGCAATGGGTCCATGGCATTTCAGTTTTTTCACCAAAGAAGTAGATATGAATAGACCAGTGGTGCAAGCACTGCATGCATGGAGATTTGTGCAACTTGCAATAGACCAGATGGGCGGGATATAAATCAAATAAATAAATAAATAAATATGTATATTCTACCAAAATACGCATATTCTATCAACACTGATGACAGAGACTTGCAGAAATCCAGAATCTCTGAACCCTAGGAAGCTGCCCCATGTCTACCCCTCCCCCATGTCTTCCCACTCCCTTAAAAATGGAACAAAACTGAAAAGGCCCCTACCCCCAGCCTCAGTTTCCTTCCTTCCTTCCTTCCTTCCTTCCTTCCTTCCTTTCTTCCTTGTTTCTTTCTTTCTTTCTTTCTTTCTTTCTTTCTTTC